CGTACGTCGTCGTCGTCGCNCCTCTCCGTCGTCGTCGTCGTCGTCGCGCTCAGCCTGCCACGCNCCTAGCCTGCCTCGCCTCGCCTCGCCTCGCCTCGCCTGCCTGCCTGCCTGCCTGCCTGCCTGCCTGCCTGCCTGCCTGCCTGCCTGCCTGCCTGCCTGCCTGCCACTTTGCTCGCCTGACTGCCTCGTCTTTTGTTCCCGCTGCTGCGAGCAGCCAGGATGAAGGCATGTGCGCGTCGTCGGTTGCTTGGGCGCCTGCCTGCCTGCCTGCCTGCCCGTGGCCGTCAGCCTGCCCCCGACTGCCCGACTGCCCGTCCGCATGTCTTCTGTCGGCCTGGCTCTGCATCTGTGCTGCGCTGCGCTGCGCTGCGTTGCGATGAGATGCTGCTGCGCTGGGTGCCGGCCGGTGCTGACGCTTGGTCGCTTTTGCTTTGGCTGGCCTGGCCCGCCCCGGCAGCCTCGCTTGGATCCGCTGCGCTGTGGGCCCGCCGTCGCTTTTGCACCTGCCGGCCTGTCTGCCGCCTCCTGGCCCGCCGCCCGTTTTCGCCTGCCTGCCCGCCCTGCCTTGCTCCGTCTTTTCGTGGCTCGATCCGACCCGCCGCCCCCCGTCGCGCTCGGACTCGCCGGCCGTCTTCCACCACCACCACCACCACCACCACCACCATCCTCATCCACGACCCATCCCACACCGCCGCCCTCTTCCCAGATCCCGCCCTTTCTGTGTCTCTCCTCGCCATCCGGCATCAGGTCGCTTCCTCAACCAGTCAGCTTACCACTTCGTCCGGTTCCGTCGGATCCTCATCCCCTTGGCCCGCACCCGTCCGCCTAGCCTCTGCGTTGACTGTCTACCCCTGGCGCACCCGCCGAACGAGTCGTCAACTGGCGTGTGGAGGACGATCGCCTTTAGCCTCCTTGCTACATTGCTGCCTGCTCCTCTTGGCCTGCTGGAATCCTGCTCGAGCGTTCGCTGTCGCCTCGCATCTGCCAACAACCTGCACAGACGCCCCAAGGCAGCCAGCTTGCTAGGCTTTAGACGCCGGCTGGCCTTCCACTGGGTCCTCTCGACGGCATCCATCACACGGTCGGCGACGCACCCGTGCCTGCGTTCAGAGACGCGACAAGCCGACCCCGCGGAATCCCAGTCCGGCGCCGCCGCCATCGCCCTCCTCGGTCCGTGTCCCGAGCGGGTCATCTCGGCGTAGGCAATGCCGCCGTCTCGTCACAGCGCCCATCCGGCGCACCACCCGCACCCTAACGCGCGCGGCCCGCACCACGGCCCGGGCATCAATGGTCCTCTGCCCCCCAATGGGGCAAACAGCAGCGGCGGCGGAGGCGGTGGAGGAGCCGGCCCCAACGGTCCACCCATGCATCCTCACAGCAACGCCTATGGACATTCCATGCCTCCGCCCGATCTGCCTCCGCATGCCATGAACGGCGCCGGCGGGCCACCTCCCAGGATGATGATGGGCGCAGACGGACCCATGCCACCCGCCCCTCCCCCGCACATCCCTCGCTCGTCGTCGGCGGCGAGCCACCACATGATGGATGTTGGCGGGCCCAACGGCGGCGCTGCTGGCGGCGGCCCGGCCGTCGGCGTTTCTGCCTCGGCCGCCGTGCAGAAGCTGACGCAGGCCAACGAGCAGACGTGGATCTCTATCGGAACCGCTGCAGAGACGATGGAAGACTTCGAACGCGCCCTGTCGGCCTACGAGTCTGCGCTGCGGCACAACCCGTACTCGGTGCCCGCGCTCAGCGCCATTGCCGGCGTCCACCGCACCCTCGACAACTTTGAGAAGGCGGTCGACTACTTCCAGCGCGTCCTCAATATTGTCCCCGAAAACGGCGACACCTGGGGCTCGATGGGCCACTGCTACCTGATGATGGACGACCTGCAGCGGGCCTACACCGCCTATCAGCAGGCGCTCTACCACCTGCCCAACCCAAAGGAACCCAAGCTGTGGTACGGCATCGGCATCCTGTATGACCGGTACGGTAGCCTCGAGCACGCCGAGGAGGCGTTTGCGAGCGTCGTCCGCATGGATCCCAGTGAGTGACCGCGACCGGCGTGGCCGAAGTGCGCGCAGGGCTCCTCTTGCCAGCTCGCTTCCGTCGCTGACGGCAGGTTGCCCCTCGTCACACCCTCTCTCACAGACTACGAAAAGGCGAACGAGATCTACTTCCGCCTCGGAATCATCTACAAGCAGCAGAACAAGTTCGCGGCCAGTCTCGAGGTGCGTAGCAGGCGGTCCTGACGTGCGGCTCGGTGGCTCGATGGCTCGATGGCTCGGGCCTCCCTGTGCTGACTTGGTTGCTGCCCCCCCGGCTGCCCCCTCGCTTCCACCCCCGCACAGTGCTTCCGATACATTCTGACGAATCCGCCTCGGCCCCTGACGGAGATCGACATCTGGTTCCAGATCGGCCATGTCTACGAGCAGCAGAAGGACGTGAGTATCGCTGCACCGCTGCAGGGCCTATCGCCGTCGGCCACCCGCGCTGACTCGTTGTTTCCTCCCGTCCGCAAACGACGCCTGCGCGCCTGTTTCAGTTCGCCCTTGCCAAAGAGGCGTACGAGAGGGTCCTTGCCGAGAACCCGGCGCACGCCAAGGTGCTGCAACAGCTCGGCTGGCTCTACCACCAGTCCAACGCCGGCTTCAACAACCAGGAGCGGGCGATCCAGTTCCTCACCCAGAGCCTCGAGTCGGACCCCAACGACGCGCAGAGCTGGTACCTGCTTGGCCGCGCCTACATGGCCGGTCAGAACTACAACAAGGCGTACGAGGCGTACCAGCAGGCCGTGTACCGCGACGGCAAGAACCCCACCTTTTGGTGTTCGATCGGCGTCCTCTACTACCAGATCAACCAGTTCCGCGACGCCCTCGACGCCTACTCGCGCGCCATCCGCCTCAACCCATTCATCTCCGAGGTCTGGTTCGACCTGGGCAGCCTGTACGAGTCGTGCAACAACCAGATCTCGGACGCCATCGACGCCTACGCCCGGGCCGCCGAGCTGGACCCGGACAACCCGCACATTCAGCAGCGCCTGGTGCTGCTGCGCAACGCCGAGGCAAAGGGCGAGCAGGTCCCCTCTGCGCCGATGCCGCAGGACGTCCACCCCACGGCCTACGCCAACAACAACGGAATGCCTCCTGGTCCACCCGCCCAGATCGGCGGCGGTCCGCCGACTACCCCCGTCCCGGCGGTCGCTCCACGGCCCNCTCCGCCGCGTCGCNCGGCG